CGTCAGCCGCTCATATCGGGCCTCGGGAAGCGGCGCGCTCGCTTGTCATAGTGGCCACCCGCACAGCACAGCTTGGTGCTGCAGCCTCTTCGAGAGCAACCCTTCGAGAAAGGCGCGCTGGGCGCGATCGTCCTGGCAAGAGAGATGCACCTCCCAGCTCTTCCTCGTCCCCCCCATCATCTCCCTCGTCTTCGCCAGGGTCGCCCTCCCCGCCGTCGAGCGAGATGTCCTGCTGCCCACCGTCGATGCCTACTACCGACGCCATTGAAGGCGCTTTCGATATTGCGGAGGGCTCGTCTTCATCGCCCACTTCACCGAGGTTAGCACCGCCATCCTCTCGCCGCAGACAGCCAGTACCATCGCCGCCTCACGTTGCTGCTACTACGGCAGGTCTGGAGGCGCCTCCTGCCTGCTCTGCTAGCGTCATTGGTTCTGGAGGTATTGCGCATGAAGTGCGGGTGGGTTTCGAGTCCCATGGTGGGGAAGTCTGGCGATCATACTCCCGAAGTCCATCGCTACCGGTTTACCGTTTGTTGCATCCGCAGTGCATCGCGGCTCAAGCTGGGATACCCATCGACCTACCATCCATGATCGTCCTCGCGCTCGGGCTCCTCTATCAGCCGCTGGCTGATGCTCATGGGGACATCGCCAGCACTTCATATGCAACTACGACGAGCACCTCGACTCCTTCACTCACGTCTTTGACTTCCTCCTCGAGGCGCCCTGGCCACGCGGGCGAGGTGCGCGGCAATTTCGGCGAGCAAGAGTTGGGCCGTGATGGCGCGAGTCCGATCGCAGCTGCGGTTCATGATGACGATTTTCCTGCGCTTCTTGAATCCTTTGCCCCTGCGCTCGAGGAGACAGCCCTTCCGATTGCCGCGCGCCGTCAGGCACTTGTGGACAGGATTGAGGAATGGGCCCGTGCGTGGATCCTCTCGCTGCTTGTAAACTTGTGCGGCTCGGACTTCGATCAATGGATGCGCTGGTGCCCTGATTGCGTGGAGAACGGGCCCAGGTACGATGACCTACAATTCTTTGGCGGAGGATGGGCGAACAGGAGACAGCTCGCACTGGACTGGTGTCTCAGCGGATGGCACCGCAGTGCCACTGCACGTGAGCAACTTCGACGTCTCCTTCGGGATCCCTGGCCAGCGCAAGGCGAGAAGCGGATTCGGCGCCTCCGCCTTTTGGCCATTGTCTTGAAGAAGCTTGGATGGCGCGCCGACCCGACCCGCATGTCCGCGGCCAGCCGCGACGACTTCCTGTTGCAGGCCACAGCGGTCTCCCCGATTACGCCGCCTGAGGTCCTGCCGCACCTCCTCCTTCTCCCGCACTTGCTCACGGATCAGTCGATCGGGGAACTCACTCTGAGCGAGACGTCCCCTGATGAAGCTCATGACAGCGCCGACCACGACGGCGTTCCGAACCCTTCGCCTTTGTACATCGAATTAATGGTGTCGGGCACGGTCGACGGTGACAGTCTGGCGGACCACGATTCGGACGTCGCAATGCAAGCAGAGGCACATGAACCACAGCATGGGCCGATTTTCAGCGATGCGGAATTTGAACACCAACTCCAGCGTGTTCTGCGGCGCTCTCGTGATGACCCTGATGACGCCGTAACTCGTGACCCTGCGGCTAGCTCCTCGCGAGGCGTTCCTTGTCCCGCGGCACCTGCGGCACCGACGACACAGAGCACGAGCAGCTCTTCGAGTTGGTCTTCGGGTACTGATGAGGACTTTGATGCAACGATGGCTGCGCGCGGTTTTGGGGTCATCTACCCTGATGGCTCTTCTTCTTGCCCATGGAACACCACCTGGTATGGAACATCCACCTGTGGCCCATTCGCCTTCAGAACTTGAGGAAGCGGCTGGTGAACAACAGGATCCACGTGTGCTGGGTGATCCACCTGTGGATCGGCAACCACCTGGTCATCATGAAGTTGATATGGCGGCACCTGATGAAGGAGATGAATCGGTGGGTGCTCCACCACTTCTCCGAGAGCCTGCTCCTGACATTCCACGTGATGCAGCTCCAGATCTTCAAATGGGAAATGAGTTTGCAGCCCTGGATGTGATGACGGATCTGTCTGGCGCGGCCTTCCCCGACTACGGCCCTGCTGACCTGGGCGACGGCGGTGATGGGAGCTTGGCGCACGGCGGCGTTGCCGCTGCCACGGGTCAGGGGCTCGCCGACGCTGTCCCTCCTGCGCTCCGCCTGCACTTCCCTGTCCTGCTCTCCTACGACAACGACCTCATGATCGACCTCACCACTGGCGCCAGCGATTCGGCTGGTCCCGCCGTGCCCCGCGTGGACATCCTCTCTGGGCACGCGCGCGATGGCCCTACGTCACAAGAGGAGCACGGCGATGCGGCTGGTGCTTGCCCTGCCTCGGCCGCCCTGGACGAGGGCCACGTCGGCAGCGATGACGGCAGCGGGACGGTGCTCGAGATCAGCGCCGACGGGTTCACCATCGTGCCCGCCGACGGCGCGACCGACGACTCGGTCGACTTCCTGGCCCCCGCCAACGACGCCCTGGACTTCTTCGACGCGAGCCTGAGAGGCTCGGCGCACGCGCGCACTCAGCGGCCCTAGGCGGGGATAGACATTCGCCAGGGACGCTCGCTCCTCCTCCTCCTTCTCCTCCTCCTCCTCCTCCTCCTCCTCCTCCTTCTCCTCCCCCTCCTCCTCCTCCTCCTCCTCCTCCTCGTCCTCCTGCCCCTCCTCCTCCTCGTCCTCCTGCTCCTCGTGCTCCTCACGGTATGAAGTTGGAGTCGCAGTGCGCCGCCCGCCGTGCGGCCCCTCACTTCCTCGCGCAGGCGAGCGCGCACCCGCGCAGCGCACGCCCCCGCCACATTCGGCAGGGCGCGGTGGCTCCTGTCCGAGCTCCCGGAGTTCTCGGTGCGCCGACCGGCCTGCGGGTGCTGCGCGCGGACGCCCAGGGCTACATTCGGGGGCAACGGTAGGGGGGGACGGCCATAGGCTTGGCATCGCTCGGACGTGTGCATTTTTCTTTTGGCGAGAACCATCGAGGAGCATCCTTGCTCATTTGGTGGAAAAACCACGCACGGAACCGAAACAAAAAAAAAAACATGGAATGGACGTCCGAGCGATGCCCTGTAGGGGGTTGCGAGGACATTCGTGCGAAGGTGGGGCCGCGGCGAGGAGAAGCGGCGGCGCCCCTGGCGCCCGCGCGCGTGGGCGTCGGCTCCCCACTGGCGTGCCGAGTGCGTCCGGTTCGCCGGCGAGCGCGCAAGGTTCGGGGCTGCTTTCATCAGGGGCAACGATCGGGGGGGGATAGCCAACGGGGGGGGATGCATCGACTCCCAATGGCCCACTGTGCGCCGATAGGGGCCCCACAGTCCCAACCTGCACAGCAAGGTGCGGATGTTTCTATCGGGGGCCTATCGCCGATTTATCGGCGATGCATCGCCGATTCCATGTCGACGCATCCCCCCTATGCTGGTCCTTCCCTATCGTTGCCCCTCATACGCTGTGCTGGCCACGCTGGAGCATGATGTGGGAGCCTTTCTCAGAGCCGACCGAGGTTTCGGCCCTCGCGGAGCAGCACGCCCTCGAGGAGCGGGCTTCCAAGGAGCAGCACGCCTTCCAGGAGCAGCGGCAAGCCTTCGAGCAGCCGCACACCTCACCGGAGCAGCAGCACGCCTTCGAGGAGCAGCATGCCGCCAACGAGCAGCACGCCTTCGAGGAGCAGCGCATCTTCGGGGAGCAGCAAAGAGCTTTCGAGGAGCAGCACACAATCAGGGAGGAGAGACAGCAATCCTCCGAGGACAAGCAGCAACCTTTCGTGGAACCGAAACGCAAACGCTTCTGAGGAGCAGCGCGCATTCGAGAACCAGTATGCCACCGAGGAGTAGCAAACAGCAAACAGCTTCCCACGAACAGCACGCCTTCGAGGTCTCGGAAGAGCATCGGTAATTACGACTTCGAGGGGAAGCATCCCGCCTTCGAGCAGCAACGCGCTTCCGACGAGCAGCAGCACACGCCCTCGTTGCGAACACACACACACACACACCGCCTTCGAGGATCGCAGCGCCTCCGAAGGGGCAGAGCGCCGCCAAGACGCTCGACGAGGCCCCCATGCAGTGCCCATAGCTCGACCGCGAAGTGAAGCAGAACGCCTTCGACCACCAATGCGAGCACTTCGCTGACGGAGATCGGCGCCCCTGCGGCACCGATGGCAGCAGCGCAGAGATGTAGAGCAAGCGTTCCAGAAGCTAATATCTGGCGATCGCGACACAATGGTCAAGATGAGAGCGGATCACAGTACGTTGTGTCGCGTAGATCTCCGCACCGTGCAGGTCTACCTCGCACTGCGCAAAGTATATCGACCGGCCCAGACGCGACGTAGGCTCCCTGACAGCTAAGGTTGAGTGCAGACCCTCTCTGGTAGACTGCTCGCAGGTGGGAGCCTCTTGAAGCGATTTCCTGCGCCGCGCAGTTTGGAGCATCTGCTGTGCTCGTCTGTGAAGGCAGACCTGCGCTCTGGTTCCCCCTCCGCATGTAACTAGTCATGCCGCAAGCCGAGAGCTTCACAGAAGGCGCTTCCCTGCGACGGGTCTCGGAGGCCGTCTGGTACCACGGTGAACTGCGCCTTCGGCGTTGCAGATCGATGCTGGTTCGACCCGACCCTCACCAGCAGCCGAGCGCGGGCCCTCTTCCTCCCCCTCCTCCATTTCGAGCGGGGGAGGTGGGTTGGAAGCTGGCGCAGACGCGGGCCTTCCCTCTTGCCCCTCTTCCCGCTCTTCCGCCCTCCCTCTTCTGCTCCTCCGTTCGGTCCTCCTCCTCCTGCTCCTCCTGCTGCCCTCCTCCTCTTCCTCCTCCTCCTCCTCCTCCTCCGCCTCCTCCTCCTCCTCCTCCGCCTGCTCCTCCTCTTCCTCCCTCTACTCCTGCTGGTCCTCGTCGTCCCTTGGTGCGGGAGGGGCGAGGGGGTGGAGGCGCAGCGGGCATAGCAGGCGCGGCCTGCCGCGTGTCCGGAGGTCGGCGCAGTACGACCTGCAGGCGGCGGTGGCGCACGACGGCGCGTCTCCCCGCTCAGGTCTGGGGGGCGGGGGGGGGGGGGCAACGGGAAGGAGAGCGCGGGAGTCACCACCCACCAAACCACCCCAACCCAACCCGAAGGCTCAGATTTACCCTCGATTTCCAGTGGGGGGGGGGGCCGGGGAACATCGAAAAAACACGTGTAAAACCCTTACCCCCCCCAACCCGAAATTCGGGTCTTCGGGTTGGGTTGGGGTGGTCTGGTGGGTAGTCAGGGAGGACCCAGGGGAATAGGGGAACAAAAAGTGGCACAAGCACAAAAACTCGGAGGTCCGCGCGAATTTCTCGGATCGGCGCTGGACCCCCTCCCTGGCGCGCGGAGCGCGCCAGGGGCGGCGCCGGAGGCGCCGCCGGGGGGTCCCAGCGCCGATCCGAGAAATCTGCGCGGACCTCCGCGTTTTTATGTTTATGCCACTTTTCCATACCTAGGCTCTGCCTAGAGGGTTCTTACTCGCTTAGCTTAAAGGAGCCGGGCAGTGCTACACGCCCCGGGCGGTTCCCCCGGTCCCCGCCCCGCGGTTCCCCCCAGTCGCGCCCCCTGAGCTTGGCTTAGCTTATCTCGTCTTAGCTTAGCTTGGCGTAGCTTAGCTTGGCTTAGCTTAGCTTGGCTTACCTTAGCTTAGCTTCGCTTAGCTTAGCCTAGCTTAGCTTAGCCTAATGTAGCTTAGCTTAGCGTAGCATAGCATGGCATAGCATAGCACAGCATAGCATACCATAGCACAGTATTGCATAGCATTGCTTAGCATAGCTTAGCATAGCGCCCCCTTAGCTTGGCTAGCTTATCTCGTCTTAGCTTAGCTTGGCTTAGCTTAGCTCGGCTTAGCTTAGCTTACCTTAGCCTAGCCTAGCTTAGCTTAGCTTAGCTTAGCTTAGCTTAGCTCATCTTAGCTTTGCCTAGCCTAGCTTCGCCTAGCGTAGCTTAGCTTAGCTTAGCTTAGCGTATATTGTCTTAGCTTAGCTTAGCTTAGTTTATCTCATCTTAGCTTAGCTTAGCCTAGCTTAGCTTAGCTATCTTAGCTCAGCTTAGCTTAGCTTAACCTATGCTGCTTTCCTAGGGGCTCCAACTCCTAGGTAGGGTCGCACTGGGATAATTTGTTCCCCTAGGGAAGCAGACACCGGTGTGACCACGCGAGGCGAAGGGCACGCCCAGGACGGGTCGCACTGGGGCATCCGACACACCTCGGGCACCAAGAGCACCCCCGGCGAACGCAAGGGCCCGTTCGAGAGCCAGGCCGATGCATTAGACATTGTGGGCTTCGAGGGGCGGGGCAAGAGCAGGGACGGATCGGGGGGAGGTGAAGCGGATGAACGAGGATGGGGGAGGAGGAGAAACGAAAAGGAGGGGCCATAGCTACGTGCGGGGAAGGACATACGTATATATGTGTATTTGATACGTGTATATGGGGGATGTGTGTGAGATGGAGGGAGAAGGAGGAGGGTAGGAGTGGTGGAGAGGGGCAGGAACGGGAATGAACAATGTTCACAAGACGAGGCGCAATAGGGAGAGGAGGAGTGAGGAAGAGTAGCTGAGAGAAGCAATGTAGTATCACATATGGGTTGGCTACACGCACGCAGGAGCAGGGAGGCAGGGGAGCAGGGAGGCAAAGAAGAGTGGGAGTGAGGGTGGGAAGGGGGAAGGTGACAGGCAGGTGAAGTAGGACTGGAACATTAGTAGAGGTAAGGTCAGGCGATCGTAAAAATGGATTAAGGGGGCGTGGATTAACGACGGGTCCTGTCTCCATGGGGAATCGCAAATTCCCGCCGCCGAGCGAGGCGGCACCGGCCGCATTCTGGGGAGGGCAATTCCCCTGATCCATGGATTTGGCGACCGCTCGCCAAATCCATGGATCGCTAATCCATGTTTGCGCGCCCCCGACATTTGCAGAAGGAAGGGCGGCGTAGTTGATTTGCCAGGTCATTATGTTTGCTACACCCGCGATGGCTCAGGCGCCGCCTTCTGTTGGGACCGTTGCCGAAGGTACTGTTTGCCATCCCATGCAGCAGCGCGAGTCGGTTGCAGAATATTCAAGGCCGCACGTCATGTAGCAACAGCAGCCTATGCGCATTGGCCATAACTTTCATGTCTGCGTGATGCATGCGTTTTCAGGAAAATGTGGTTGACCGCCCGCACCTTGTCTGCTGTGGCTCTCTCCTGACCCTCAGGGCAAAGATGCGCTCCAGGAGTCTGGCACATGTACGACGATTCCTTTGTACAGGACGCTCCCCGTCCAGACTTCCTCCCGCTGCTGCACAATCGCGACGGCGTGCTTTGAGCCTTTTGAGTGACTCGCCTGTGTGCATGGACGTGTCGACCGGCTGGGCGCACCGCCAGCTGCAGGCCTGAGCTTGCTCCTGTACATCCCGCACGCTCCGAGGGCTCTCTGGTCGCCTGCGGCCCTCTCCTCCTGTTCCTGCCGCCTCCCACCAAACCACCCCAACCCAACCCGAAGGCCTCAATTTGCCCTCCATTTCCAGTGGGGGGGGGTCCGGGAACATCGAAAAGACACATATGGAGCCCATACCCCCCTCAACCTGAAATTCGGGTCTTCGGGTTGAGTTGGGGTGCTCTGGTAGGTAGTCAGTTCCTGCCGCCTCCCACCTGCCTCCTGTGCCCAACTGGCGCAGCAGTGGAGCAGCCCTGCAAGCGCCCGACCGGAGCTCGGTGCCGAGACGCCGCCGACCAAGCATTTTTGAGCACCTTCGGCGCTTGGGCCCTTGCCGGTCCCCGGGGCTGTTCAAATGACACCCATGCTACGGAAGACCAGGTTCGTATCGTCTAGGTCGTCCCGCGGCTTCGAGGTGGTGCTCTTGGCCCACCCTTCACCGGACAGCTGCTAGCAGCTCATCTCCGTGAAGTCGAATGGTGGAGGGGGGCAGGATTTGTCCTCCCCAGCGCGTCCTCCCGCTCTACGGAAGACCTGGAACAGCTTTTCTTTTGATTCTCGGGTCGAGAGCGCACCTCTTCCGGTCGAGGCTAAGCGGGCCGCGCGAAGCGTGGATTAACAAAGAGGGGGGGAAGGGAATGAGCGCAGCAGGGAAGACCTGGAACAGCCTCACGCGGTTCACGACGGAGATCCCGATGGGGGGCCACGATGGTCCAGCGATTTCGGAGGCCGGGGCCCGCCCCCCACACGGTGTGAGAAGCACAGCCGTGCTGCACCTCTGCATACAGGCTGCCCATGGGACGACGATGCGGGACGAGGAGCCGCTGGCCGGGGAAGGGGCCCGAGTCGTTTGCGGACCACGCCGTGGATACGGAGACCACGGCGCTGAGCAGGCGAAAGTCCCCCCCGCCCCCGGTCCCGACGCCCATGCCCGAGACTGCGAGTCAAGGCGTCGGGACTGGGGGTGGGGGTGGTTTTCCCCCATTCCTGGGCCCCGAAAAACCACCCCCATCCACCAGTCCCGACCCCTTGGATCGCGGGCTCGGGGATGGGCGTCTGGACTGGGCTCTCTTTTGACACCACTAGAAACCTATCAGTCTTCGCTGTTAGGTAAAAAAGATGAGCGCACGCAGTCGGAAGATGCAGGGTGCATGGACGTCCGAGCGATGGCGAGAGGAGACGAGTCTATGAATATGTTTGCGCTGTTGCAGAAGGAGCCTCTTTGAGCAGCCAGTGCCCGCATCGAAGATGGGTGGTCAATGAAAACAGACTCCAGACCACGTTAAGCATAATATAGCCCCTAACCCTAAGAACACAATGAATTATTGGCCTATGTTAGGTCCTCGGTTTGTAAGGCAATCGCTAAACGTGTGGGTGGCTTCGTCTGAGACGTCTTCAAGTAGCATCCTCTAGCTCTGATGCTGTTTGGCCCTCCGAACTGAGGTCCCCTCCCAAAGGATTAGGGGCGGTTCTATTGCTCCTCATGACCTCATCGTTCTTCGGCCACCGTGTTCCGGGCCCTGGCGGTGCCTCGCCGAGCTGGGCGGCCGTGCGATGTGCCTTTCGTACGCCTGGTCTGAGAGCCTCCGGGTTTGAGCACTGCGTGGCCACTGCGTGATAGGAATCACCATTCTCGTTCTGCTCTTTTTGTGTATGTTTGCCCTCCTAACTAGGTTTCTTTCTACGCGTCTGTGGATGTGTGTGTCTGTCTCCCTCTCTCTTTCTCTCTCTTTCTCTGTCTCTGTCTCTTCCTATCTCCCTCTCCCTCTCCCTCTCTCTCTCGCGTCTCTTTTTCCAGCAGCCGTCACGGCAATGCCGCTGACAGCGAAGCACAGAAGCGAGACCAGGGCGATCGGCCAAACCGATGCTTGCTCCCAGCCACCAGCTGAGCGACGAAACAAACTTGTCCAATGGTGCCGACATTCGCGCGTAATTAAGCTGCTCGCGTGAGGTCGCGCGTGAGCGCCCTCGTCTCCAGTGTGGCGTGGTGTGCAAGCGGCCCGCGTCAGCCACCGCGTAGGGTTGCTACGTACGTAATCGCGCGTGAGGCCGGTTTAGGCAAGTTTCTGATCGTCGTTCAGATGTGCCTGCTGTGTTCTGTACAGTTTCTGGAGGACCACGCTGCGATTGCTGATGGGCCTGTTTTCCACCACCACCACCATAAGCTGGTGGGGGGAAGGAGGAGGATGAGGAGGAGGACGAGGAGGAGGAGGAGGATGAGGACCCCCCCCCCTCCTAATTACTCTTGGTGGTGGCGGCGGAAAACAAGCCCACCAATTGCAGCCACGCTGCCGCTCTGGCAGAGCCGCTCGTCCGCCTGCCGTCTCGCTGTCGGATCGCCTTCCGCGCTGCCCTCCGGAGCCCTGCAGGAGCTTCGCGAGGACGCCCTGCAGAGGACGTCCGCGGGCATGAGGAGGAGCCAGGAGTAAAAGAAGTCGTACAATGAGGAATGCGATGACCCAGGATCGTGCTCACGATGGCGTGTAATTTGAATGACCTGGAGCACGATTTGTTGTTCTCAAGTCGCGTGGGCCGTCTTTATACTCAGGCTGTGCTGAGCTGATATTCGGCGAAAGCACATCAGACACTGCGTCGTAGACCTGAGGTCACTCAAACTCGTGCCTCGGGGCACAGTGGCGAATGTGGTGGGGGGCGCGGGTTGGGGGATTTCGCGCTGCCGCAGCCAAGCGAACGTCTGTCTTCACACGTTCTCTTGGAACTGCGAGCGTGCAAGGGCACGGACGGTTGAACTTCCTTGCCCACGGTCCGAAGTTTGCTGCCACCTCTCTCCAAACCAGCCCGCGTCTACCGTTTCTTCCGCCCTCCTCGACCTTCCTCGCCATGGTCCTCCCGATCGTCTTCCGATGCCATTCTCCCGGCCCCTTCTTTCTCCACGCACCAATCCCTTTCTCCCCCCCCCGTGTTGGTGCGACGCGGGCGTTGCGTGACCTCGTCAGTTAGCGGATTCGGCACGGAACCGACGCCGGCGCCCATGGTCGGCGCAGCCTTCTATGTGGCCACGACGCGCGCGAGGGGCGTAGCGAAGTGATTTGGGAGCGCACGGGATGTTGCGTGTCGCGGTCGTCTCGCCCCCGCTCTCGGGCGTTCCGCGGGGGTTGTCCAATGTAGCACTGATGTTTCGTTGCCTGGCCTGAGCCACATCGCCTAGAGCGCATGGCTTACACCGCAAAGTTTGCCAACGTGTGCCTTGCGCGGCAGCTTGCGTCACAGAGCTTGCACAACTGCGTCTTGCACATTGCTTGCGCCACCCAGCTCTGTGGTCGACCTAATCCTACGCATAATTTTCACATAACGCACCCACGGCACCACGCAGCCCTCCAACGAGTAGCTTGCCAACCCGTGGCTTACATCGCATAGCTTTCAATACGCGGTTCACACCGCATTGCTGAAGCATCATAGCATGCACTGCGTCGCCCACGCCGCGCATCTTATACCGCATATCTTACGCCTTGCAGCTTGCGCCGTAAAGCAGACGCCACGGGGCCCACTCCGCATAGGTTGCACCGCTTGCGCCGCGGAGCTTTCAAAGCATAGTTTACACCATGTGGCATGCACCGCATGTCAAACCCTGCGTTGTAGACCATATAGCTTACACCTGTAGGTCACATCGCGTAGCCCACACCACGTATATGACTCTACACAGCTTGCTTCCGCATAGTTCACGCCAGTTTTCCAGATGGGATCCCATAATGTAGCGTGCGCTACACGGAGTAATCAACCTCCGTCCGGGGCTCGCGAAGGCTTACTGTTCCGCATACACGTTGTTTGGGGCCCAGCGTGCCATAATTCATTGCTTGGGGTCCACGTTGCTTGGGGTCTTCAATGCAAGAACCCACTGTTTGGGGTTCACCGATCCATTCTCTGCAGCCGATTGCGTTCAACGGCGAATTCCCTCCTCCTCCATATGAGGTTGGCACCAGCATTGTTTCCCCCCACAGTTGCGGGCACCTGACCGGTTGGAGACAACTCCCTGCTGAGGTGCCTCCAATTGACCAGCTGAGTTGCCTCCAGCTGACCATTAGTTGGAGGTGATTCCCAGTTGATTTGCCACCACCTGACCGTCAGTCGGGGGGAACTCCCAGCTGGGTTGTCTCCGACTGACCAGCTGAGGTGCTTCCAGCTGGCCGTCAGTTGGAGGCATTTACCAGCTGAGTTGCCGCCAACAGGCTAGCTAAGTTGCCTCCAACTGACTGTCAGTTCCAACTGGCCGTCAGTTGGAGGTAACTGCAAGCTGAGTTGCCTCCAACTGACAGCTGAGTTGCCTCAAACTGGCCGTCGGTTGGAGGCATTTCCCAGTTGAGTTTCCTCCAACTGGCCAGTCGAGTTGCCTCCAACTGACCGTCAGTTGGAAGCAACGGGCCGCTGTATTGCCCCCAGCTGACCCGTTGAATTGCCTCCATATGGTCCGTTGAGTTGCCTCCGACTGACCAGCTGGGTTGCCTCCGACTGGCCGTCAGTTGGAGTCAACTCCCTGCTGCGTTGCCTCCAGCTGACCAGAGTTGCCTCCAGCCGACCATCAGTTGGAGGCAGCTCCCCGCTGTGTTGCATCCAGCTGACCAGCTGTGTTCCCTCCAACTGACCGTCAGTTAGAGGCAATTCCCAGCTGCGTTGCCTCCAATGACCAGCTGGATTGCTTGCAAGTGACCTTCAGTCGGAAGCATATCCCAGTTGAGTTGTCTTTTGCTGACCATAGGTTCGAGGCAACTCCCAGCTGAGTTACCTCCAACTGACCAGCTGAGATGCCTCCAACTGACCGCCAGTTGGAATCAACGGGCTGCTGAGTTGCTTGCAACTGACCAGCTAAGTTGCCTCCAACTGGCCAGTCGAGTTGCCCCCAACTGACCGTCAGTCGGAGGCAACTGACCAGCTGGAGGCAATTCCCACCTGAGCTGCAGCCAACTGGCTAGCTGGCGGCAACTGACCGTCCGTTGGCGGCAATTGACCCTTGAGCTGCCTCCAACTTATTGACAATTGGAGGCAGCTCCCAGCTGAGTTGCCTCCAACTGGCCAGCTGAGTTGCCTTCAGCTGACCGGCAATTGGAGGCAACTGCCAGCTGAGTTCTCTCCAAATGACCAGCTGTGCTGCCTCCAACTCACCGTTAGTTGAGTGCAACTGACCGTGGCGTTGCCTCCAACTGCCCGTCAGTTGGAGGCACCTTCAACTTGTGTTGCATCCAACTGACCCGCTGAGTTGCCTCCGACTGACAGTCAGTTTGAAGCAACCCCCAGCCGAGGTGTCTCCAACTGACCGGCTGAGTTGCCTCCAATTGACCAGCTGGGGGTTGCTCCCAACTGTCCGTCAGCTGGAGGCAACGGACCAATTGAGAGGCAACCCCCAGTTGAGTTGCCTCCGATTGACCAGCTGGGTTGCCTCCAGCCGACCGTCAGTTGGAGGCAACTGCAAGCTGAGTTGCCTTCAATTGACGAGCTGAGCTGCCCCAATGGACCGTCAGTTGGAAGCGACTCCCAGCTGAGCTACCTCCAAGTGACCCGCTGAGTTGCCTCCAATTGCCCAGCTGGAGTTGCTTCCAGCTGACTGCCAGCTGGAGGCAACTTCCAGCTGAGTTGCCTGACCAGCTGACCGTCAGTTGGAGGCATCTCCCAGCAGAGTTGCCTCCAATTGAACAGCTGGGTTGCCTCCAGCCGACCGTCAGTTGGAGGGGAAGCTGAGTTGCCCTTAACTGACCGGCTGAGCTGCCTCAAACTGGCCAGCTGAGTTGCCCCGAATGGACCGTCAGTTGGAAGCGATTTCCAGCTGAGCTACCTCCAACTGACCCGCTGAGTTGCCTCCAACTGCCCAGCTGGCTTGCCCCCGCTGACCGTCAGCTGGAGGCAACTCCCAGCTGAGCTACCTCCAAATGGCCAGCGGAGTTACCATCAAGTTGGAGACAACTACCAGCTGAATTGCCTCCAACTGACCAGCTGAGTTGCCTCCAACTGGCTGTCAGTTGGAGGCAGCTGACCAGTTGGAGGCAACTCCCAGCTGTGTCGCTTCCAACTTACCAGCTGAGCTACATCCAACTGACCGTCCGTTGGAGGCAACCCCTAGCTGAGTTGCCTCCAGCTGGCCGATCGCTGGAGGCAGCTCCCAGCTTTGTTGCCCCAAGCTGACTAGCTGAGTCGCCTCCAACTGATCGTTAGTTGGAGGCAACTCCCAGCCGAGTTGACTCTACCGTTCGTCAGTTTGAGGCGGTTCGCCCCTGAGTTGCCACCAACTGACCGTCAGTCGGAGGCAACTCCCAGCTAAGTTGCTTCCAACTGACCATCTGGGTCGCCTCCAACCTATCGTCTGTTGGAGGCAACTGACTGCTAAGTTGCCTTCGACCGACCAGCGGAGTAATTAGCCTTCAACTGTCCGTCCGTTCGAGGCAACTCCCAGGTCAGTTGCCTCCAACTGGCCAGCTGAGGTGCCTCAAACTGGCCGTCCATTGGAGGCAACTCCAAACTGTATTGCCTCCATCCGACCGTCACTTTGAGGCAGCTCCCAGCTGAGTTGTCTCCAACTGGCCAGTTGATTTGCCTCCAACTGACCGTCAGTAGGATGCAACAATTCCCAGCTGAAGTGCCGCCAACGTACCAACGGAATTTCCCCCAACTCGCCGTCAGTTGGAAGCACCTTTCAGTTGGGCGACCTCCAACTGACCAGCTGAGTTGCCGTCAACTGACCAGCTGAGTTGTCTCCGACTGACCGTCAGTTGGACGCAACTGACCGCTGAGTTGTCTCCAACTGACCGTCAGTAAGAGGCAACTCAAAGCTGAGTTACCTCCGACGGACCAGCTGAGTTGCCTCCAGCCAGCCGTCAGTTGGAGGCAGCTCCCAGCAAAGTTGTCTCCAACTGACCAGCTGAGTTGCCTCCAGCTGACCGTCAGTCGGAGGCACCTCCTAGCTGAGCTGCCTCCAACTGACCAGCTGGGTTGCCCACAACTGATCGTCAGCCGGATGCAACCCCCAGCTGAGTTGCCTCCAATTGACCAGCTGAGTTGCATCAAACTGACCGCTTCTTGGAGGCCCTTCCCAGGACAGTTGCCTCCAACTGAGCGCCAGTTGGGGGCAACTGACCATTAGGAGACAAGCCCAAGTTGAGTTTCCTCCAACTGAACAGCTGGGGGGCGCCTCCAACTGACCGTCCGTTGGAGGCAACTCAGCCGGCACCAACTGGCCGTTTGTTGGAGGCAACTTCCATTTGAGTTGCTTCCAACAGGCCAGCTAAGTTGCATTCAACTGACCGTTCGTTGAAGGCGACTCCCAGCTGAGTTGTGTTCATTTGACCAGCTGAGTTGCCTCCGACGGACAGTCAGTTGGAGGCAGTCCCAGTTGGAGGCCTCTAACTGACCGTCAGCTGGATTTACACTCCAGATGGCTTGCTTCCAACT